GATTTTGGCTTTTCAACTAGATCAGGGGATTAAGGGATCGAAGCTAGGAAGGATTGGAGGGCAGGACGCCTTGACATGTCTCTGACTGGGGTGTTTACTGCCCTATATACCTCCCATGGACCAAAAGCCGTCCCAAAGTGGCAACAAAATATGTTACGGGAGCCAAAGTGTCATGCTGTCAGATGCCGGCAAAGTTACGACAGAGAAAACGAGCAGATGCAAGTGTGGCTGTTGTCGTGGCGTCCCCCCTTGTGACAATCAAGTGAGCACAAACTATTGTGCAGCTCTTGGCACAGCAAATTAGGCAGCTGCCATACGCACATGGACTCTTCTGGCACCGCCAAAATTCTTGACGTGGCAGATTTTTATAAAAAAAAGTAAGCAAACGTAAAACAACGCATTGCAAGCGTCCCGGCTGGTGCCTTTGTTGCAATGATGTTCACATGCACGTAAGGGCAACTTCGGCAGGCTTGCAGTTACACGTGCTTCGTCGCGCGGGCGGAGACAACGGCTGTTTGACCGAAACCGAAACCATGCCACTCCGCGCTCCGTCGCCAACTGCATGGTTCCCAAAATAGTATGCAAAATTTAACTGTCCAGCATACGACAATAAACAGTCCAGCGACTTGTGCTTGCCAGGCCGGCAGGCGAGGTACAGGCTAAGCACACAGAAAAAAAGAACCTGAGCGTATTGATGCAAGACACTGCGAATCAAGGTCAAAAAAGTTCTTGGAGCGCTTCGTGCAACGACTGAACTCGAGACAAACAAGCGCGCTGTGCGGGTTCAGCGTGCAGACATTGCCTTCTTTGCTTTAGCTCACTTCTCTTCACCAACTTTCTTTTGCGGCAGATTTTTCACGTACCGGGGTCCCTCTCGAAAGAAAGCCCACCAGGAAAAACCTAAGTAATCAAAACTTCGCCAAGCAGTCATTGAGTTAGAGAGGGATTTTTATAGCAGCGTATGATTTAAACAAGAGCAGGAATGTCGATGCGTTTCAGTTTAGTAAGCGCCATATCTGCAGCGACGTGGGGACGGCAACACTCGACGTCGCGCGAGCGCTTCAGCTCAAAAAGTAACTCCCGCCGCGCAAAAACGTGGTTTTGTCTCACAGCATGACGGCATGTTTGGCACCCGATACACTAACGTCTGAGAGTCCGCACACGCCCGTGTCTACCGCTAAAAAAAAAAAAAAAGACGCGAGACGAGATTCCTGAGACGACGAGTGCACGAAACGCGAGACGTCGGGAAAAATCATGCAAGACCAAATGGACGATTAATACAGGGTACTTTGTGTCGGGTGGCGTCTTGTGCGACCTAGCTTACGCATGCTCAATTACGGTTCTCAGTTTCGTTTCGTTTATGAAAGGCGACCAAAATTCTTCTTTGGCGCAGGCTTGGCTCGGATTAGCCATATTTCGGTGAAATGTAGCAGGATGTAGCAAAGTTAGCCCCTTGGTGCAGTTTGGCGCAATTGGCGCAGCAATCACATCCCTGCACTGTTTATACGTGTGTCTCAGCCACGCCTGGACAGATGCCTCCGAGTCATCAATGTCCGCAAAGACATCCTCGCGTGGCTTTCTGAATACGGAGGGCATTATGCTCATTGACTGCATGTAACCGGCCACCACCATCAACATCGCCCCGTATGTGGCTACCCTCAGGTGATTGCGCGATTCACGAGAAGCTGCCAGGGAAAGGGGCAGCAGGTACGCTCTTGCAGCATGACAGTGCCCATCCCTACATTCACCGTACTCCCTCAACCTAGCCCGCAGTGACCATCAGCCATTCAGCACCATGAAAAAACCACCTATGAGGACCCTATTCCATGGACACTGGTGAACTCGAAGCGGCTGTCCAGGCGTGGGTGCGAAGCACTCCCAAAGAGTGGTCCCGGAACGGAAAGGCTGCCACACTACTAGAACCAGTGCGTTCGTCTCCAGGGGGACTACGTTGAGGAGGTCGACACGCCTACCGACCCCTAAGTGGACAATATCTGCGGAAAAATAAATCGTAAATCAGTATGGTACGCCCCCCATATGGCTGCACTGCCTTGACAATTATAGTATGGGAAGGAGAAAATTTTTTATTTTTTTGAGTGCATGGCCTGCAGTGGCATAGCCAGAAATTTGTTTCAGGGGGGTGTTTTACATTGCTGGTGCGTGTGTGTGGGGGGGGGGGGGGGGAGGGGGGATACTTTGCATCGCTGGGCGAATGGAAGGTTTCTAGTTCGCATTGCCATTGCATTGTAAACGGTGCACGAACCAGAGCGATGAGCCTTCAATGACTGCCTTTTTGTGTAGTTTCTTGACCAAAAAGCTTGCAAACACCGTCTAAAGCCCCTTCTGACAATTTGGATACTGGAGTAAAGAATATGACTTTTGCCGATAGGGTTGGAATATAAGTCTCCACTTGCCTTCTAGAGGAAAGACGTAGTGGCATCCATGGACTCAACAGCAATCTGTGCCTATGTCATCGTTCTCAAGTTTTTGATTGTTTTGACCAGAGAACATTGCACTCGCTTGGGACACCCAAAAATTGAAAGGATGCATTATCGAAATGCCAAAAATAAAAAATGTTGAAAGAACAAACCGCCGAAATCTCTATTAGCCGAATCACCCGGTACCAGAGACCAAACAATTCCAAAATATTATGTTCAACACGAACCTACAGGGTTCTAGATTGAGAAAGTGGAAGGAACATTTGTTCTGCCAGAGGAATTCTTTGTTTGTTGAATATGATCTAATAGTTTGTGTGTATTTCCCAAAGAAAGCTAAGGATGTTGAGCTTGTCCCAGTTGCCCAAAGCGGCTGTCAGGCTCTCTTCTCGCATGCTTTGCTTCTTGTGCGGTAGATGGCGAGGTTCTAATCTGATTTCTGCCTCGATATCGTCTTCGAGCGCAGCTTGCACATTTTTCATGCTCCTAATTTTGCAGAAGACACTTCCATGATTCCAACACACTGGTGCAGCTAGCATCTGCCAATACCGTACCAAATATGGCGATCAGATATGTACGCATTCTCACCTTTCGGCGTTTTGCTGTTGGGCATTTTATTTTTCGACGTTTCAATGTTTGGCCTTTACATTTTGATTTTCGTCATTTTGATATCGGCCCCTGTTTTGATGGGCTTGAAGGTCACACGCAGAGACTAGACCAGGTAAAAGGACGAGGATGTCTGAGCTGAAGGTGCCAACTGTACTGTCGACGTTGACAGTGCACTTGAAGCAGTTGGTGTTTGTTTCTTCTCAAAAAGATTGCCCAGCATCAACTTAGCTGGCATAGCTAAGCTCATTTTTAAGATAGCAACAAGGCATTGATGCATGCAAGATAAAGTAGGTGTATGCAGTTTTCTGAACACTTAGCTCTGAGAAACAAAGTGACTGGAGCATCCTTCCCCAACACGGTTGCGAATTACTGCGTCAATATCATAACTTCGTGCTTATTTATTTGTTGCTTCAAAAGTGTTGTTCTGTAGTATAGTGCTGGTCCAGTCCATGAAGCTAGCAGGAAAGAATCTGGAAACAGTAATTCTTCGTTTTTCTGAACTTGGGAAAATGCAAAAGCTACGGCATCAGCAAGCCAATCGGGGCGTGTAAAAACAATGCATGTGACAACGTAATGTCTTAGTGTACTCCTCCTGTGGAATTTTGGCACGTGCTTAGCTCCGTCGCTCAGACTGGCCCACAAGGGCAGTAGCTTTCACCCTTTGTTGAGTTATGCTAAGACAGAAAAGCAAGGAAACTGCATGAGACGAATACAATCTCGGGAGTGAGTTAATCTTCGCCTCTCGTTGACAAAGTAGGACTTTCAAGCCTTTGCGGCCACCTGCTCTCTGCGAGCTTGTAGAGGGGCTTCAGGCGCTAATTCGGCTCTGTTCAGAGACACCATTTGAGCAAGCTGCGAGCCAGACTTGGGTTTCTGACACGGACTGCGTTATCTTTGTCGTTTGCGCCAAAGCCAAACGTGTGGGATATCCACTGCTCTCTTGAGAGACAGAGAAAGAGAGAGAGAGGGAACCTTTATTAGTTACACCATAGTCCGTTGCTTGATTGGGGCCACCAGTGCTCACCCGGTACAGCATGGACATGCTGTACCAGTAGGAGCAGTAGTGTATCAACGAGTTGAAGCTGGGGGGGGGGGGGGGGGGTTGAGCCAGCCTGCCTAGTCGGAGCGCCGAGAAGGGTGAAAAAGAGGGAGGTAAAGGCTCTGTTATACTCCGACGTAACGCGCGCGCAGGCGAACGCTGGCCGAAGTCGGTTACGTCACGTCAGTCACGCCGCGTGCGTCAAAAATTCGCCCTCTTTATACTCCGGCGGCCGTGGCGACTCCCGCGGCTGTGTGTCGGTTAGCCGCCGGCGTGGCGCATGCGCAGAATCTGACTACGAGGGCACGTTTCCTGTGAGAGTGCGCCACTTCCGGTTCCTTTTCGTTTCGAATAGCAGACGAGATTGCTCGCGCTTCGTGAGCGCCAAGTTCGAGCGATGGCGTGGACGTACCTTGCACGACGAAAACTCGCGCTTGCACTGTTGGTGCACCACCTGCGCCGCAAACGTAGGCGGTCAGTTTGCATACGGTACATCTTTGACAAGAGCCCGGTCTACGGCACTCAAGCTTCCTCGAGTCGTAGATACCCGGGTGAGGACGAATTCCCTCGATCAGCTTCTCGACCGACCGAGTCCGATTCTTCAAACACGACGCCACACGGAGTGGTGCTCCTGTCGTCTGCTATTGCTCGCATTCGCCGCGCTTCCCGCGCGACGCCTGTTGGGAGCCTGCGCGTGATGCATCCTGGTCCGGCGTCGCCGGCGCGGCCGGCGCGCAATACGGCATGCTCCATTTTGGCGTCGAGGTGGTCAGGCTGCGCCGAACGCCGCCGGTCGCGTCGGTTACGCCACGACGCCGGAGTATAGAGCGTCGGGTTTTCGCCGACGTGACGTCGCTGTGACGCGCTCGCGCGCGCGCACGCGTTACGTCGGAGTATAACAGAGCCTTAAGGGAGCATTGGGCATGGGGACAACGCCAAAGCATATGTACATCCAAGGTGTCGCCTTCTATTGCTCTCGACGAGGCGAGGCCGTCTCGACAAGAGACGAGGCCATGTGACTGTCATATATTTCATAGTGCTATTGTTGCATAACATTGCATCTAAACAGAGCAAGAAAATGACATATCTAAACTGATAACCGCAAATGCAAGGAAAAATAGCTCTCCATGATCTGGCCTAACGGGAAGAAGTGTAACGCTCGAAGAGGGCGGTCTCATCAGAACAGTTCGTTTAGAACATATAAGAATATGTGTAGTTTATAGTGGGACAGCAGTTGGAAGTGTCCGTGTTTCTGTATTGAACAAATGACTGGGTGGTAACTAGGCAGGCTGCTTCTCATTTAGTCTCTTGAAAGCCTCCCTGGAGCGCTATATTGCGCCTGGACAGTGGGGGTTATAATTAATTTCACTATCGGCAACACAAACAATTCATCGACCGCTTCCCAGGATGGTGCTAAACGTTCATCTAGCCTAACAACAAGTTATTACAAGTACGTATGTACGCTGTGAATCGGACAGTGAACGTAGTTGCCGAGGGCACGGTCCTCACCGAGACATGGTGAGTTTGCTCACGCGCAAAGCATGACATCGTACTCACTCGCTGGCACTTGCGCCCATCCCTTGCTGCCCGTAGTGCCGCATGTTGAGGTAGGCCAACCTCAACACCTCAGGGTTGAGGCACAGGGCCTCGAAGTCCGGGTGGCCCGTTACGCAGCCCTGCCGGCCCTGCTGCTTCCGTGCGACGGCCGGGTATTCGCGGCAGCAGACGCACTCGACGACGGTCTCCATCGGCGCGCAGGAACCACATAGACACCTTCGCAGAAAACACGCATCAATTACCCATTAAAGCGGGGTATACTGGAGCGCACCACGTACCAGTCCGTGTTCCCAAGCCGCCCGATTCCATCGTCGGGTGCGTCTTCCAGCTCTTGCGGACTCGCTTCACCGCGGCGCGGCCGTTCGTCGTTGCCACAGTCGGTGCCCGCGGCGCTGCGTTCGTCGACGTCGCGCATCGGGGTCGAATCATAGGATATGGCACCCATGTCAGCTGTCCGTTCCAGGATTTCGAGCTCTAGAGACGTTAGGTCCGAAAGGTCCATAGCGCGACCGTGGGATGCGACGAACGACGAATGCTGAGCACAAAGTCCGAGCAACTTTGGTCCGGGCCCCTTGACGACGGTCCGCGCGTTGGAGAGATTCCTCCGCGGGTCGGCGGTCGGTGACGCGCAGTGACACTGGAATCCTTCGATTGCCATTGGCTGATGCGTAAAGAGATGCCCCTCCCGTTTTCCGGGGTCATCTTAGAAAGGGGGGCGTGCCGGGGACTTTGATAGCAATTTTAATAGGGAAATCCGCCGCGCATGACTGTAATTTTACGATTTTTAGGATCCTTAGGACCCATAGATTGAGTTACCGCCATATATAGACCATCGCAGAACGCTCCGGAGGGCCCCTTTAATGGCACCCGGCAACAGCGACTTCCTGTGATTTTTGTACGGCGTGTGGGGCACCGTGCAATCAAACGCGTCGTTGCGTAGGTGTAAATGAACGCCATTTGCGAGTATTTAGTGCGTGGATTGTAAACAGGTTAAAATATATATATTTCAGGCGTCTGGGATGACTTGTACCAAATCTAAAAGACACGGGGCGCTTTCCAATTCACAAACTGAAGTTTGCTAATTAGTCTTAATAGACCGAATAATTGGGCAGATCGAGGAAAATGCGGCAACTATGTTAAGACGCTTGCTAACGACGTGCAGTTGGTTTTACTTCCCTGGAGGACTCCGTTTGCTTTGTTTTAAAGTTTGATGCAAGTAATCTGGGAAACCCTGTACACATTGTCTCGATGTTCCCTAAAAAGCTAAGGGTTTTTAAAAATCCCCTCTCCCCAAAGAAGTTAATTTTAATCTCTCGGAACTGTTTTCAGCTACGGACCATAAATACTGCTCAAACAAACGAGAAATCGCATAATTTTAAGAGATTGTAGCAGACGGGTAAGTTTTAGTTGTCGATTGCGTGCGCGAACTTCGCATTTTACTCCCACCAGGGCGTCCAAAACGGTTCCCCGATCGGCGCATTTACCGCGTCCAAAGAAAAATGGTCCCTCGATTTCCGCCCGATGGCATCGCAGAAGGGCGGTGTTCCAGCGGCGGTGTGTTCATTGCCACTTCAAGACCACTTTCGGTGCGCGGGCGGAGCTTACTCCGCTTTTGGCGGGGCTCTCTTGCAGAGACGTAGCGCACGACAACATTCGTGCCGTCGAGGCGCAAGATGCGTGCAGAGTCTTTCCGGCAGTTTCATTGTGAAGCAGTATGCAATGCATTCTGTGTTAAGTCTGCCTTTGGCACAACAATGCAAAAAGAGCTTGTTTTGTGTGTTTATTTGGTATTGATTTGCCTAACTGCAGAAATTGCTAGAGTTCTTTTTTTGAAGGTGCAGAATGCTTTTCAACGGAGCTCCATCAATCGGAAGATTTCGCCCATCCATCTGCCCGTCGGTGCATTTCCCGCCAGGTTTAGCGGTAAAATTAATAAATACATAGCTTCTTTCCGAGACGACCGTTAAGTGTCTTCTAAGCAAATTTAGAGGACCACGCGGCCCCTCATTCCGCGGCTGTCATTTGCGCGGGTGGTGAGGGAGATACTGCAAGGTTTGGCCCCCAGTCGCTCCGACCGCTACTACATGCAGAGGCTCGCCTTGCCGGTGCTACAGGTAAGCCTGCCTCGTCTTTTGGTCGCCGTCGTGGCGCCCCGTCGACGTTGGCTCACATGCCGTAAAGTCCTGAGAGATAGCCCACCTAAAATAGTTAGAAAATTGGGTGGAAATGAGGGGTGGGCTAGCTTTTGGTGTGCAGTTGGGGCAAGTTGAATAAATGCCATTTTTTGATTGTGTGTCCCTGTCAAAGTTGTTATCGCGGCAAGGGGCAATGAAGCAAAGACGACTAATCCAATCAGCAGTGTTGGCTTATGTCTCGCCATAGCTAACTAGACGCATTTACGCCACGGTCATCATTGATCCGAAACTACGATTACTAGGAGGGGGCCATCTTTCGGTGTTTCAAATGAAATAGCACCTCGAGCCAGAAATGGGGGTGGGTTACCTTTCTCGGGTGGGACATCTCTTCGGATTTTACGGTAGTCCTTTTTTCGTCAATACATGCCTATTCAGTCGTAGGTCAGGTAGGCCTGGGACTGAATCAACCTACGTGGCCTATTTAGTCGATACCACTGCTAGCCTTGGGTCTTCGGCATACTTCGCTTGGCGAAACACGACCGCACGCCGGTAGGATGCTCGTCCAGATCGAAACGGGCAGGAGAGGGGAGGATCACAAGACCCAGGAACCTTGGGTCTTGCTGTGCGAGCTTGTGCTCTACGCTCTCCGAGCCGCCGTGCACTAACAGACCCGACCGCCAGTCCTCCATTACGTGAAAGAGCAGCGTCTCCCCTTTCAAGAGGCGGTGCAACGATTTTCTAACTTTGGCCAATTAATTGTGGGAATTAGTCGAGACCAACCATAATATGAGGAGCGGGAACCCTTTCTTTCTTGTGTGCGCTAGTTTTTAATCTACAAAGAGATTGAACAAGTAGAAGTGTTTCGAGTGAGTTTCGGTGTCGTCTTTGGGACCAGCAGCCTTCCCTGCCCGTTGGTCGACTTTTCAAGGCCACACTTGCCATCGTCGAGGTATCGAGGTGGGACGGCTTGCCGCGGGGAAAGACGTTGAAGGTAGCGAAGGAGAGGAAACGGTTTCCTTTATTTCCGATAGATGGATAGATGGCGCCGCGAAAAAGGTCACGCCATAGTTCCGATGACAACCACAGAAGACTGCAAATTAAAAAAAAAATATGGTTTTGTTTTTTGCAATTGCAGTAGAAGATCGATGATATGAATCTCGAGGGATCGCAGGAGATATTTGTATCGTCCATAATTCATACTAACAAAAAATCAAGTCACATGACTATGTGAAACCAAAGGGGGGCTACTTCCAATTCATTGGTCACACTCCCATCTAAAGAAGTCGATAATGTTCTTCTAAGTCTTCTTTTTCCGATGTCACCCAAAAGGCACTTTTGGAACACGGAAGAACGAGCGTACCTGTCATTGCTGACCTTGATTTTGGGCTCACTATGCGGCACAGCACATCGAGAGCATGCAGTGTTTCAGCAGTCGTCGGTGGCTGCTTGTCATTAGTTTACGTCACCGTCATCATCTCCGCTACTTGACCGTCCTTGCAATGCTGTCACTTCCTCGACGATTGCCTCGGCAGTCCTTAATCCGCAAATAGCGAGGCTGTCATCTGCGGTAACGAAATCGAAAGCCGATTTCTCAGCATAAAGCGCAGGTCTCGGTCCTCAATTCTCAAGTTTTCGTCTGGTTCCGGAGGAGCAGCCACTGTAGGATTTGTGAATTCACACTTGCGGAAGCCGTTACATAAGGGTTGATTCCACAATCAACGTCAATTCCAAACGTCATTTCTCACGTTTACTCAAGTCAGTCAGAGTTGCTGAAACTCATTTATCGCGTGACAATAAATATAAAGCAGCAACCCTTGAGTGAGCAAACGCGAGTTACTCCAGCGAGCCAAATTCTCATCACGCGACAACACAGAGCAGCGGTGGACGTGGGTGTGTTTTCGAGTTTTGGAACGCACCTACGGTTATCGGGATAGCATGGTGCGTACATAGAAAGAACGGCGAGAGAAATGACTCAAAAAGCGTGCTACAGTCGTAGGAGTCAAGTGATGCCGTCCCGCAGGATGTGTAAAGGTTGTTGATGATCGTTCACATGATCCTCCGCGGCCGAGAAAGCATTCGGACTATCCCGAAACGTAATAGATTAGTCTTAACGAACTTCTGCCGGGAATTTCGAAAAATTCGTATCTTACCGAAATTCGGACGAACCGTCGTCGTATCATCGAGATTCTACCGTATGCAGCAAATTTGCAGCATTCTGAACGAAGGTGGCACATTTTCTCCTCTTTTGCCAATAGAAACGATATAAAAAATGTGAGCCGTAAATTTTTCGACATTAAAATTGTGGGCCTGTCCCAGTTCTAACGCATCGCCTCGATTCGTTGGCGTTTGACGGGCGTCACCTCTTTTCCAGGACGCGTCGGAGCAGTTCGTGACTAACTTCCTGTCTGCGAGTTACCTGTGTTCCCTCCACGCCAACAGACAGACCCTGAGGAGGGAGGACATGATTTTCCTCCAAAACCTCCTCAAGACCTTTGGCGGGAGCCTCGCCCCGGCCTTCTGAAGCCGCCCGGTTCCTTCATACGCCGACAGTGCTGTGTACATAGCGTAATCTTTTTTTGGGGTCAGTTCCTCCCGTTATTGTGTTATTTTTATATATTGCCGCGCGCGCAGCTGGCCAAGTAGGCAGCGTGCGCGTGGCATAACGGTGTTATTTTTATATATTGCCGCGCGCGCAGCTGGCCAAGTAGGCAGCGTGCGCGTGGCATAACGGTTATCGCGCTTGCCTTCCACGCAGAAGGCCAGGGTTCGATTCCTGGCCGCGGCTACACATTTTTGTTGACACTGTAATGTGATGTTCTGGTGAATTCGAGAACTGTCTTGCTGATTCGAGGTTAGAATGTTCTACGCGCCGAACCTTCTTCGCCGAACGATCCAGAAACCCACGAGGGTACATAAGGGATTCCGCAAGGCGAGCGGAGTCAGTTTGGCCCCAACACTCGACTCTGCTGTCTCGCCGACTTCGACGCGACGCTTTATTACTATTTTCTATTCCCTTTTTGTTTTGGGCACAAGTTCGCCACATTAAACGTTTATTTCTTCCTGTTGATTTATTGTTATTCTGGTCACCACCCGTGACATTCTGGTGGAGGTCTGGGGTACCGCATGTTCGTGCAGCGCACCCCTCCGAGTTCCCGCAGTACGAGTCCGAACCCAAGCTCCCGAGTACCCAACGAAGACACCACCGAGACCTGAGTAAGTCGCCACATCCAGTTCCTAGACCTGGAATACGGACTGCTGCCAACCAAGACCAAGCAAACCAGAAGGACGACGATGGCCAACCAGTCGGAGACCCCGGCCGCTCTTGCCGTCGTTCACCTGCCCGTCGTACCGCGGACGGCTGCTCCATTCCACGGCGAGCAGCACGAAGACGTCGAAGACTGGATTGACGATTATGAACGCGTTGCACGCCACAACTGCTGGACCG